TGGAGACCTTATAATGAGGATTTAGTGAAGTAAATAAAATAGTGTGTCTGAAGTACATAGCCAGCCCTGGGACACAGTAGTCATTTAATAAACCTCAATTCCCTTGCTTTTGACTGCATGCCCTGGGGGGGCAGTGTGGGTTCACGGACGGAAAGACACAGGGGAGGGCACCTCTTTCTTGCCAAACTCAAATGTTCCTTCTGCCTGACCCCACTTAGTCACAACTGGACCATGATCTCCCAGACCACCCACCCTCCTCTCTGGGTGTCCCACCTCAGTTTTTCTACAACAGCCTACATTTACTTCTCATGTTCCTGAAAAGCATTGGCTGATTGGCCTGTATTTCCCACTAGGCTCTAGATTCCCTGTGGCCTGGGCAGTGACATTTCTCTCAGGTTCCTAACTCAGTGTATGCTTTTGCTAGGCACTCAGTGGGTGTCTCCATGCCTAACCTACAGGTATGAGTGATGTCCAGCCACTTACCTGTGAAATCTTTCACTGGAACAGATTCTGAGGGTAAATATAAGAGAGAACCACCTGGAAAAAAAGCTTAGCCACCACGCTGTGAAAGATGATCTCAGAAGAGGGGTCTTTCCCTGCTCAGAATACTATATTCTAAAATTTCCAGGGTCTGTCAGGGTTCCTGAAGTCCAAAGGTGTATATCGCCGTCACTTGAAGGTCCTTTATCTCCTCCAGAAAGTGATTCCAACTCTCCCTCCTGTTCCCTTTTCTATGCCCTGCACACCCTTGTATGTCTCCATGGGTACTATGGCCTTGTGATCATGAGGTTGTCTGGCTGGCTGCCACTCTAAACTGATGGTTCCCTGTGACAGCATCCTGCTCTGCATTGCCACATCTCTAAAGCAGAGTGCTTACCTGCCCGTCACACTGTGTGCAAAGGAGCAACTGGAGATTCTTGACTGGGTCTGGAAACACAGCCCCAGGGGGTTTGAATGTGCATCATGAACCTCCTAAAATTGCGTGGGAAATTATATGTGTATGTTCATAAATCTGCTGCTCTTGTGAGAGAGTCCGTGGTTTATGTTAGATTCTGAAATGTTTTCACGATCCTACAAATGTTAAAAAAAAAACCCCACTAATTTAGAGATTTTTCCACATACTTGTAAATTCAAGCTTATGTTTTCATTAGCTGGGAGATATTTTTATGCTCCCCTGATATCCAGGTGTGAGCTACAGCTTGGAATAGCTCGTGAGCTCCGCGCGGAGCCATGGATGGTAGTTCTGGCCTGGACACTGCTGCTTACACATCGTGGAGGGTCCACTTAGCCTTTCTGAACTGCATTTTACTTTTCATCTGTTCACTGACGTTTATAATGCCCTCACGTCCTACAGGAATGCTGTATAGTCAAGAGATAACAGATGTGCAGGCATTTTATAAACTGCCAAGGACTGTACAATGTAGGATGCAAGTATTAACTGTTACACATGTGTCATTTTTCATGTTACACAGTACCAAGAACACAGTAGGCAGTTGATAAATATATGATTAAAACTATGTGGAAAGGGTTTATTGGAGTGAGAGGGCTACAGGTTTAAGGACACCAATGTCTGTATGTCTTGCAGATCCTGTGAACGATCTAGTATTTAGGCCTAGAGCACAGCTAGGGATACAGAGGAAATGCTTTTCAAACTATGGTAAAAGAAGAAATGACCTTTGAGATTCCAAATCCGTTTGCTTTATTTTCCAGAGGAAATTGACACTTAAAAGAGTAGAAGCTGCCCCCACTTCTTTCAGGAGGGCTCCAGCGTCCTCATCACTTTATAATGGAGGCCAAAAAACCCCCAATACTCCTTGCCATCATATTATCAATTTATTGTCTTTTCTTTTTTAAATGGTACAGCATTCAAACCATAGTCTTAATTCTCTCATTGGGGCCACAGAGAGGCCTGCCATTCCTGGACTATGCTGATCCTGTACTAACACAGGCATAATGCATTATGAAAACTTTGTATTTCCAAAGTACCTTCCTTCTTGGAATGTTCTTATAGACACAACCTCACTGGGGATAGATTATTGCCACCACTGTGACCTCGACAGATCCACAGAGGTTACTGCAACTTGTCCAAGTCACAAACCTTGGTGTCCAAAGCAGGATGAAAATCTAGGCGCTCTGATTATCTGTCCTTTTAATCACCAGATCTGTGTCCCTGAAGAACATCTCTGCTTGATTTTGGTAACTTTGCAGAATTAAACTAGAAGACTCTATCTTTGGGAAAGAGAGATTTTAGCTTCAAATATATTACACTTAGGGCTGAAAAGACTGTTTATATCCCCTCACACTACACGCCACATACACCTGGAGAAAAGCTAAATCTCATGAGACCCTCTCCCTGTCCCCAAAGACTGACAAAACAGTAACCTGGAAACGTTTTTTGTTTTTTTTTTGCTTGATAGTTGTGTGTGTGTGTGTGTGTTGCCTAGACTCTATCCTTCCATTTAAACAATTTGCAATAAGAGAGGAGTTTGAAATTACATTTAGTCATTGCTTTAGAATGAATGGTACTTAATTAAATATTACTTTAAAAATAGGCTTCTTCTCTTTTTCTGTAATTGCATTACTTTTTTGAGGGGAGGTTTTGTTTTGCTTTTTAAACTGATTGTGTGCATTTGGAAAGTACCCTAGTACAGGGTATCTGAAAGCAGAAAATTCTGGCACTTTTCCCACTTTCCATTCTTTCTCCGATATAGATGCCAGATTCCTTTGGGAAATCATCATTTGCAAAAGGTCAGGAGCAAAAGGAGGGGTATTCTTTAGTATACAGTTGCTGCTAATTAGAAACTGAACATCTGTAACCATGTCAGAATTATTTGTATTTGAAAAGAAACATTTATACACAAAAGCCTTTTCGGTAACATAAAACACACTATAACACAAAGTATGTATGTCGAAGGGGTGGGGGACAGACAGCTCAGGAAGCTTCCGACAAATGACTGTGCTGAGTGAGGTCATTTGCTAATTAAATCTCAAAGCTTTTTCAGAGTATTTTCTTTTCTCCATCAAGTGAATGTTTCTCACTCCCCAACCCCCCAGCCCCCATGGGCCAAAGCAAACGTTTGACTGCATTTGCCAGCTACAGATCAAACATTTAATCATTTTAAAGGAAAGATAAGTGAGAAAATGGGTGAGTTGGGAAAACCCAGTCAAAAACCACTGGGAAATCTCTAGCTACCTACTGTAGCCATAGCCTTCAGTGTCTTCTCATAACATGTTGTAAGGAGAGTTCTTCTCCATCCTGAAAGTGTGTGCTGATTGCCCCACCTCAGACCTACTGTCTTACGGTAAAAAACGACACAATGTTTTGACTTGCCCTGTACCTCTTTCTTCTATCTCCCTATTTCCTCCTACCTGCCCTTCTCCCCATGGTGAAATTCTGCTTGCATCGTTACATTTGTACAGAAATTATATCTGTACTTTATTGTTATATTAATATAAATGTCAGTGATAACTGAGGTATTAGAAACATTTCAGTCATAGGGCTTTGTCTCTACATGCTAAGCCTAAATGGCCACATGGGCCTAACGGCCCAGATCTTACCGTAATTTTTTCTTGGACTATTGATTAATTTTGGGAAAAAACAAGAGGCCATCTCTTTCCCCTGCAGAGTCTGCTATCTTCTCATCTTCCCCATTCTTGTCTTGTCATCTAAGACATTTATATAAGTGTTTTTTTGTTTTTTTTTTTTTTGTGGTACGCGGGCCTCTCACTGCTGTGGCCTCTCCCGCTGCGGAGCACAGGCTCCAGACGCACAGGCTCAGTGGCCATGGCTCACGGGCCCAGCCGCTCCGCGGCATGTGGGATCCTCCTGGACCAGGGCACGAACCCATGTCCCCTGCATCGGCAGGCAGACTCTCAACCACTGCGCCACCAGGGAAGCCCAGTTGAGTTATTTTTTTAATAGGATGCAAGATCATCAAGTCTTGAGAGTTCTAGTCAAGAACTTAGTTAAGCTAGGACTTAACCATATTGGGCTCTCCTTTCAAATAAGACTATATCTGTGAAGGCTCTCAAGCGTACAGTTTCAACAAAATGGTTGTGGACTCTCAGGTTCTAAGTGTTTACAAAAAAGTCAAGAGGCCCTTAGATGACCTGCCTTTCCAATGACCTTTGTAGAATCACAAAATACCAATTGTCCATGACTTTCACTTAAGAACTGGCTTCTATCCAAGCTCTGTGGGTGTGAGTCAGCCCAAGAGGCAAGGATTTGGTGACTCGAGGGTCCATCTCTTGTTCTCATGACAGTTAAGTTCAGAGGGTGTACTCGGCCATTTATGGCACTCCCCAGTCTGGCCTGACTCACTTCTCAGCCTTCAGTTCCACAGCTATTCATGAGCCTCTGTTTCAACCAGACGCAATTAACTATACCTCGAGCATTTCTACCCTTGCTTTATACAGCTGTCCCTGATTGAGACAACTGCCTGGTTTCTTTCGGCATACTTGAATCACACTTGCTTTCCTGACTTCCGTCCTTCTCAATACTACAACCCACAGCCCACAACCCACAGTTTCATCCTCCTGTAGCCATCATGTCAAGATCATTTGCCTATCATTTTTCCAGTACCGCTTTCAGTTACCTTTTCAGATGTACTCCTTATCTTGCCAACCAGCATATAGGCTCCTCAGAGACAACAGTGACTGTCTTATTTCTTATGGCACTCATCATGGTGCTTTTGTTCGTTCTGAGTGCCCAGTAAATAGTTGTTTGTTGAGGAGCAACTACCTGTTTTTTGTCTTACTCCCAATTCCTATCTGCATTTATTCCTGTGATGGAATCATAGATGTTAATGATGTTTATGAGAAAAGCAAAGTTGCCTGTATAATTAATGACAAAAAAACCAATCATTTGGAATAGGAAGCAACTCCTACCACCACCCCAGCCCTTGGATGTCCCAGCCAGAGCTAGATAGAACATCAGCATATACAAAGACATGGGTGTGGAAATGAGTATTGAATGGTCTTGTGTTTTTATCTTTTCCCAGATGTGGTTGCTCACCTGTCTACCGCTCCCGTGAAATGGCAGCTCGTGCCTTGGTCCCATTTGTTATGATGGACGAAATCCCTGATACCATCCGAACTCTGTTGGCCAAACTCCCCGACTGCACTGACCAGTGTTTCCGGCAAAATCATATTCATGGGACACTTCTCCAGGTAAGTATAGTCACTCTTTCTGACTTCTGTCAAACACAGACATTGTTAGCAGGTGAAGATTTGTTATACAAGCTTTTCACTTTATCCGTAGAACTTTTTTCTACTGCTGAAAGAACAAGTATTTCCTAGGTGTGCTTTTTGCATCATAAACATGAATGTGGTGTCACACTGTGATTCAGTCAGGTCATCTTTTGCATTAAAACCTAGGTTTTCTGTAGCATGCTTTTCCATTTAGCCTTCTTCTCTGAACCAGGTGGAGTTGTGTCTTTTCCATCAAGTATGCCTGCAGAACATTCTAGGCCACTCCATGTTCAGGGTGAAGTTGTGAGCATTCCTTGATACACATCAGGGAGCTTAACACCACAGTACATGAAATATCAAGCCCTACTTTCCTATTTTCTCTGTGCTATCAGTACGGAAGAGACTTTTCTTTTGAATCAATATACAAATTGATTTATTGCTTTTAACTTTTCTTCTAGAAAAGACTCAAGTATAACAAATGATTAAGAAATACACTTCTTATTGAAACTGTCCTTTTTGACCCCAGCTATAAACTTGGTGCTGGTGAGAAGGTCTGCTGTTCATGTGGCTGCTCTAGTCACTCACAGTGGGGCAGGGCTGGGGTGGGATTTAAATATCAGCTCATGTTTCTCATTTATGAGCAGATTAGAGAGATGGCCTTGAGATCCAAATATATGTTCTAAGCTTGAAGTCCACACTGCTGACATCAAAGGCAGTGTGTAGAGTGGTTAAGGCCCGTGATTCTGGATCCAGACTAGTCTAGGTGTCAATTTCAGATTCATCACTCACTACCTGTGCATCTGTGTCTTCAGTTTTGAACCAAGGATAATAGTAGTGTATACCTCTTAGGGATTTTGTGAAGACTAAATGAATTAATGCATACAAAGTGCTTAGAATAGTACTTGGTACATAGCAAGATATATAGATAGTTATTATTGTTATTATTAGTTTTCATAAGTCTGTGCTATAATGAAAACTGATATTTTTGTAACTAATTCCATCTAGGTGAGAATGTAAGATAGACCTATTTTTTGCCTTCCTTCCTTGGTTGTTTTATATATTTAACAAGTATTTGTTGAATGGTTCCTATATACTACTGTGTCACAATCAAAATAGTGACCAAGTCAGTTCTTGCATTGAAGGAGTCGAGGACAAAAAAAAAAGGCCAGAAAATGGGCAATTACAATGTAGTGTGCCAAGTGCTAGGGGAGCATAGCAGGGTCACCTGACTGGTCCTGGAGCAGTCAGGGAGAGCTTCCCAGAGAAAGTGACATCTAAGAAGAGAGCAGAAGTTAGCCAAGGGAAGGGAGAGAAAGAGTTCCACCTGCAGAGGGAACAGCATATAGAAAGGCTCAGACTGGGTGTAAGTCAGCCCATCTGGAAACTGCAGGGTTGGGTGGGACTAAAGTTCTAGGGTGGCAGGTCTCAAACTGGTCTCAGGACCTCTTTACCCTCTTAAAGGTTTTTGAGGATCCCAAGTGGCTTTTGTCTATCAATATTTAATTAGAAACTAAAACAGAAAATAAAACACAAGAACTCACAAGCACACATTCCATTAGTCATTAGAGAGGTGACATCATCACACACCTTGTAGCCTCTGGCAAACTCCACTGTATACTTGTGAGAGACCGAGAATAAAAGAGGAAAGTAATGTCTAGTGTCATTTTGAAAATAGTTTAATCTTGCAGATCTCCTGAAAAGATTGTGCAACTCCCAAGGGTCCCAGACCAGATGCTCTGGTCTCCGTTACATGCATTATGGATCATTGGTGGTTTCTTTAATACAAACTCTTAAGCACTCATCTCCCTTGGTTCTCACTATATCCCTGTGATGAAGAGAGGGGCTGGGGTTGTTATCTTAGTTATAAAGATGGGACCCTGAGGCCCATACAATTGTGTCAGACTCCACTGTTTCTTTGAAGGGAAAGGGCCTGCAGTAATGAGTAATGCAGAACAGGCTTTTCAGAGATTCATAGGGGATGCAGCTGAGTTAGAAGGAAGGCTCGGATTGTCGGGCGGCATCAGCCATCAGATTTTCTTTATTGAAGATCCACTCTTGGCCAAACTTAGAAGTAGTGAGGTTGGAATTGTTTCTTTGGCTCTTTCACCAATTGTACAAATGGGCCTCCCAGACTCATTCCCCGTACGCACCACTAAAAGGTCTGGCTTGTGTTTCACCAGGCTGCCCAGCAACAAAATACGGTCTTTTGCTCCCAGGGCTGCCTTTGATATTCTCAAAGTTACTTCTTCTGCTACATAATATGTGAAACACTGTGGGAAGGTAAAAACCCTCTAACTCTGGGGTGGTTGTGACTATTCCTCTTGTTCCTGAGTGTTGGGGAGATGAAGGGCTTGTTGGAAAAAACAACAACCATATGGGTGTTGGGTGCTGGGTATTGTGTTTGTGTTTGTCAAACAGATTCCTGTCTTTACCAAGATTGGCTTATACCCTGGTTGAAAAAAGGAAGTCAAAGGCCTGTGGAAATCTTTTTGTCATGTCTATTCGGGTGTCTCATCTGTGTTGTAATAGTTCTGTTTCACCCTGTTGTTCTTTGTGGGGAAAGCTTAAGGGGTTAAGACAGGGAGGGCTCTTTTTCTCTTTTCCTTCTGTAGCTTATAGATTCCTTTTCTGCATAAAGCTACCTTTGAAATCAGTAAAAGACCTGCACCTGGAAGAGAGATGTTAGGGGTTGAAAGGAATAGTAATCTCCATGGGACTTTCAGAGCCAGCTAAGTAAATAGAAAGTTGTTATTTTTTTCAGAAGCAGGAAATCATTTCGTAATCAGAAAACAAATTCTTTCACAGAACATTTTCTTGAATTATACATTTTGACTTCTTTGAAAAATGTTGACATAAATATATCAAACCTTGGAGTATTTCTGTAGTACTATACATACTATACCTTGAAAACGAGAAATGTGCTGATCTCTGAATTTTCGGGGACTATGGAAGAAAGACTCAAATTATAGGACATGCAAAAAAGGAAAGAACATGTGGGATTTGTTTCTTAATCATTTTAAAAACCAGAGGCTCATAATTGCCATGTTGAAATGGATGGAAGTAATGCACATCAGAAAAGGTGAGATTATCCTGCAGGTTCACGAGAGCCAGCGGTAAATGACATTAAATCTCAGTAAAGGCTAGATAAGAGACATGGACGGTACCTCATTTGGGAGCAGTACTGGCAGGGCTTCCCTGTCTTTTAAGTAGAATTAAACGTCTGTTTTTGTTGCCAAAATTCTTCATGTTGGGGACTTGATGTTATTACAAGGTTACTTATCACTCCCAAGAAATCGAGTTAGAGTTCAAAAATCTTGTACTGAGGAAGAGTTTGGCCAACAATCATGAGGAAAGATTTATTTTGATTCTTGGGTACTTAACTCATCTTTTGGTGTTTCCTAAGAAAATATATACCATTTGAAGTGAAAGTTTGAATTCTGAGTTTTTTCATTTCCTGCCCAATTTGGTTATTTTTCCTATTGTACAGACGTATAAAAGCTGATCCCTGCTCTTTCTTTAATTAAGCCCTTTTATTTGGGTAAGATGAAGTGGGCAGTTGAGGAAAGTTAGCTGCTATTAAAGCAGAAAAAGCACTTTTTCATTTATCTGTACATTCTAGACAAAAGTATTCTTTTTTTCTTCAGTTAATCCAAATAATCACCACAGTTCTACACATCCCTTTCCTGGTATTAAATTTTCTCCATTTTTTACCCACAGAATCTGTTGAACACTTTGTTTAATTCTTTTATTCCAGCCCCCCAAATTTGGAGCCTTGATTTCTTCACTTTGAGAATTCTGGGTTAAAAAGATTCCACTTTAAAAAAAAAAGATTCCACTTTTCTGGCTGTGGAGTGGAGTAGCATTGCTGCATCCGTCCTTGGGTTGACGTGAAATATTAGCCAGGGATGGGCTTCAGATAGCCTAGGCCCACGCACTTAGAAAGTTTGCCATGAGATAGGTAAAATGAACATTTTGAGCACCTTTTGTATTCCACATGAATTGCACATGCGATTTCATTAATCCTCCCAGCAACCCAGCAAGGTAGGCATTATTCTCTCTCTCTCTCTCTCTCTCTCTCTCTCTCTCTCTCTTTCACACACACACATACACACACACACACACACACACACCCCACATTCTCTCTGTGTTTCTGATGAGGAAATTGAGGTGAGCCTGGCAGAGTGACTTGACTAAAGTCACAGAGGTAGTCAGGGGTAGAGAGAAGACATTAAAGCCTGCACTCCTTTTCTCTTTAGAACGTGCTGCCTCCCTAATAGTTTATGTGAATAACAACTTTTTATGCCTAGGGAAACCAAATCAAGAATCCATCTTTGTTTTTATTTTTTATTTATTTATTTTTTTTTGCAGTACGCGGGCCTCTCACTGTTGTGGCCTCTCCCGTTGCGGAGCACAGGCTCCGGACACGCAGGCCCAGTGCATGGCTCACGGGCCCAGCCACTCCGTGGCATGTGGGATCTTTCCGGCCCGGGGCACGAACACGCGTCCCCTGCATAGGCAGGCGGACTCTCAACCACTGCGCCACCAGGGAAGGCCCATCTTTGTTTTTAATCCCTTGTCACTCAGTCTCCTTAAATCTAATTTGATATGATACTACAACATTGGAAACAAAGAAGTTCATCTATATTATAAAGAGGGACAGAGGAAGCCGGTGAAACCCTGCAAAGCTACAACTGGTAAAAGACCTTTAAAAGTACTTATTGTAGGGCTTCCCTGGTGGCGCTAGTGGTTGAGAGTCCGCCTGCCGATGCAGGGGACACGGGTTCGTACCCCAGTCCGGGAGGATCCCATATGCCGCGGAGCGGCTGGGCCCATGAGCCATGGCCGCTGAGCCTGTGCATCCGGAGCCTGTGCTCCGCAACGGGAGAGGCCAAAGCAGTGAGAGGCCCGCGTACCGCAAAAAAAAAAGTACTAATTGTACCTTCCCTCCCTCTGCTTGTCTCTTTCTCATCTTTTCTCTT